AAAAACCCGGCTGCTAGTTGCGCCTCACGCCTTACCAGCTGGCGAACTTCACAAGGGCTGCCCTCTTCAACGGTCTCTTTTCTACGTCAGTCGCCGCCCCCAGGAGCGCTGCATGAAACTTGTCAGCAAAGGGGGTTGACGGAGCCGTGGGTTTCCTGCCCCTCTTAAAGCCAGCCTGCGCGGCCGTTCTGACCTCACGGCGGTAGAGCACTTCCAAGGGCCCCGTTAGGCGACCCCTCCTGAACCTGGCTCTCGCTCAGAGCGTAGGCTGGCTGAGAGCAGCTGTCTCCCCCCAGTGCGGGCAACTGTCAATTTTCCAATTCCACGCAGGAAAACAAAATGAAAAATGCTATTCTGTAGAGAGAAGAGAGGAAAGCAGCCTCTGAGCTTTCCCTGTACTTTGATTTATGGTCACGATGACGTTTCGGAGGTCAAAAGGAGTAGCAATGCCAGAAGTACTGAAGCGTGTATTGATCCAAGGCCCGCAGCTTGCTACTTCTGTTCTTTACAAATACCAACAGCACTGTTTTACAGAGGCAAGTGGTCTGCAATATGATCTCCTACTAGATAAAAGTTGTGTACGTTGAGCATTATACATTATTTACCTTTAGATATACGATCTTACCTTTGGCCTCTGAAACACAAATTGTTGGCCTGAGCACATCTTACCAGGCAATCCCCATCATTCTGTAGGGGAGCCCTCCTCAGTTTTACCAATTCTCCAGGCTTTAAAAAAAAAAATCCATAGATTTACAAACTATCGAGGGATTTAGTCTTTAAAAAAAAGTGTAAAAAGTCTGAAACTAGTTCTTGAAGCACACTAGAAATATGGTCCTTCTCCCATGATTCCCCATATGTAATTTTATGCAACTAAATTATGCAACTATTTTTATTCCATTGAATATACGATTGTTGTTCATAAATTGAGTGGTCACACAGTAAAAGCGGCCGCAGACTAGTCACCTGGGTTCTTCTAATCCACAGGAAATTCTCCAGAAGAGCCCTGGAGGTGATTGCTAGTGTAGCATCACGTTATGAATTACCAGGAGTAGATCATGACTACGTCAGCCTGTCCAGGCCCCATGTATTCTGTCAGATCTCAAAAAGAAGTGCATCAGGCTGTACCCTCATCCCCTTCAGGATTCCCTTTCCATTTTTTCATTGTGTAGAAGTCCTGAAAACCGTCAAAGAAAATTATTTGTGCTAGATCTCTCCGTAGATATCCTTGATTTTTCTTGTCCAGTGATTTAAAAAGCCATCCTTAAGAATGCTACATACAACACTGTTCTACCAGTTTGATTTTCAGATATGTCTTCCTTATTTTCACACTGAAATCTTGATAATAATTTCAGGTGTGTCCTTTTCTTTCTGCTGCACGCAATCTGCTTGTTTGTCTGTCTCTGTGCACTTACGGAATACCTCCGGGTACTGCCTTCTCTCTGAGGAAACACTACAAGTCCTACTCTTCTCTAGTTTTTACAGGTTTTGGCTTCCTTGGCTGCCAGTCCTTTCTTTTCTTGAACCTGGAGTTACAGTGGTTTCCTAGGCAAGTTTTGAGTGTTTGTCAGCAAGCTGCAAGAGCGGCTTTCCTTCCACGGAGGAAGACAACCCCAGCCTCGGCAGGGCGGTGATCTCTCCAACCAGGGCACGGTCCCACCATACTGGGCACAGCGCGGTGGAGCTGGGCTGGTGACAGTAAAAGGTTCTGTTGACTGTCCAGCAACCATGAGGCAAATGCAAGGTGACAAGTCAGATCCCAGGTCAAAGACAAGCGAAGAGGCTGGGAGCAGCAGGGGAGAGGGCTGGGCGCAAGCCTACCTACAGCAGAGCTCGGGCAAGGCCCGGGATGGAGCTTGGATGCAGCGCCTGCACCCCTGTGCTGGGGTGCGAGCTGGGCAGGGCACTCTGGGGCTGCTGGTGCGCTTGGGGCCCCATCAGCCAGCCTTCTTCATCTTCCTAGTTTTTCCTCAGTGTCATCACAACCCTTTCTCTCATACTATGTCTTGTCAACAGCAACTTGCCACCCACCTGTGCTTCATGCGTATGAATCCAGCAGAAAATACGAATGAACGCAGTAGAAGAGAAGAACATGGTTTGAAACCACTGTCTGTCACCAGCCCATCACAGTATCCTATGTAGAAATATCTCTAAGAAGAAAGATAGCATGCAGACATCCAGCTTGGGTATCTACACTGAAGCGCTGGACTTCTAGTGTAGTCCAAGTAGGAGAGAACGAGCACCTTTCTGAGGGCAAATGCCACTTATTGTCTTTTAGTCAGATGGCACTTTTTTTTGGGGTAATAATATTATGCATAGGTAGTGGAAAAGATCATTAGCACTGGGAAGAACAAAAAACCAAGTGAAATGGGTCTTTTATTTAGTCAAAATATTTTTATTTGCCTGCATTTAGCAGAAGGTTTGCTTTCCTCCCTTCCCTCCCTCTATTATTTGCTCATTATTTCCGATTTCTCATGCTTCCATTCTTTCAGTACAATATATTAACACCTTGCACCTCTTCAGCACTTTCCAGTTAAGGCTTTCAAAGCATTTACAGACATGAGTTAACTAATCCTCACAACGATCATTAGCAGTAGGGAAGTAAAGTGATCTGCATCTGCAGAGAGAAGTTAAGATCAACTTTTTTCCAAGGTTTTCTTTGATTTTCAGTGCCCAGCTTGTATTACACTGGGCTTGATGAACATGAAACTGAGTTTGAGCACTCAAAATCTAAAGCTATTTATGGAAATCTTTTAGTTTTCTAGATTTCTGGAAATCTTCTTTAAGGCCACACAGTAAGTGAGCAGCGGAATCCAAAACTGGGAACAAGGCGTAACTTCCAGTTATGTGCTATACTGAGACATAAAACTCTTTGTAACTTAGGTTGGGACTTTAAAACCACAATCCATTCCCTTCCCCTTACACATTATCCTCTACTGACCATTTCCAGACGACTTCAACCTCGGGTACTTACATTCTGCATTTTACTAGCAATTTTACATGAGGGTCTCCACAGTCATCAATTGTATACAGAGAACATGGTCTTTGGGTGACTGTAATGAGCCTTAATGGAAAAAACAAACCCAAAAAACCCAACAACCTAAGAAGCAACGGGTGTGGATTCTATCTCTGAGTATTTAAAGCAAAGTTAAGTTAATGGAAAAACCTAATACGTGATTGTTTTAAGGAAAACACCCCCCCATCCGCAAACCTGGTTCAAATGGAAGACTAAGTATTAACTTGACATTAATACCTTCTTACCAGTAGTGCATCTGCATAGAGATTCTTCATAAAAACCTGCAAATTCACAATTATACCTTGCAAACAGAAGCACTATGACTGTTCAAGCAAACACTGATTTTAAAATATCCATTCAGTTCATGTAAGTGGTATCTTCACGTTAGCTCCATCAGAAGATACTGGCATGAAACACAGACGAAACTTTTTCTTAGTTAGGTGAACACTGAAAATTCAAACAGTCAGACAAACACAGTGCAAGTATTTTAACAAACAATATAAAATTTCACTGGCTTAAAAAAGATCTAAATGAGAAATCTTGGTTATTTCAATGAGTTGCTAGACCCTCCATTTAAAATGATGCATTTACAGAACTATTCAGATGAATTAGGCTTCTTCTATAACACTAAATACCGTAATTCTGATAGATTGTGCAAGTATTAAAAAATATTAACATTTAAAATGTTAACATTACAATTTTAAATAGCCTTGCAAGTGCAATGTTATAAATATTAAAAAAAACCCCAGAGCTACAAATTTATATAAGTTATGCGAGTAAATGAAAGTGCTTTTCAAGTATTTACGTTCATCTACAGTTGGATTCTCTCGTATAAGTCAGTGCTCAGATGGTACAATTTAAATATCAGTCTTTTTTTAAAATTTTGGATGCATGCATTTAACTGGATGGAATAAATGGTTTCACTTGCAGAAATGTGTGATAAATATTTAAATGCAGAATATAATTTGTGATAAATATTTAAATATGGAGTATTATAAAATGTGAATATTGTATTTTTTGTTATCTATTAAAAATAAAATAGAAAGAGATCACATCCTGATGGGTGTGTGATAGCCTGATAATACCACGGGAGCCCTTGAGCCATACAGTAATTGTTAATTCCATCAAAATCCCAAATTATGAGATGCTAAATAGTTGTTCTTCAATAGAGACAAAAGCATGTGATCATAATAGAGGCCCAATACTGTCAATGTCTGAAGAATTTAGAATATCTCCTGATCTGTGTCAAAAGCCATGGAATCTAATGATAACTTTGCAAGACTTTCAATTAGTCAGCCCTTAGCCGTAGTCACTCTGGAGAACACAGCTAGTGCATGTCACCACTGTACTGCCTGCCCAGTGAACGGCGTAGCTCCCTTTCGGGCTAGTCAAGAACCGTTATTATCGCAGTGACACAAAAAAGACTGTGTTCCTCTTTGCCAGCCAGAGGAAGGGTGTGGTAAGTGGGGAGATACTTGTTTATTAGACAAGAAAACAAAACGACCCTAAATGAATCATTATATATTTAGAAGTGCACTGAAAATACTTCCTATTGAACCCTATCTCTCATAAGTGCCAGATTTTCATCTTAAGTTATACCCACTTTAAACACTGAACATATGTAAGCTGATATTGGAGCATTTAGTTTGTCTTGCGGTTTGAAAAGCACATGACACAAGGCAGCATTAACATCTTCCATTAAAAATCTGGCGATGCCATAGTTTTATCATGAAGATGCAACTTAGAAATGACATAGTTCAGCAGAAGCCCCTGCAGACTGCTATTACAAGCTTTCTCCGACAGAGTGCTTTGTCATTTGCCACAGACAAAAGTCAAACCGTTACCCTACCTCACCACAGTGCTGCACTGGCAATTTATAGTGTTCTTTCCAGATGCAGTTGGACTTTAATAAATTACAGCTCTTCAGAGTTAGGCAATTCTTTGTAATAAAAGCGGAGTTTCATGTTCCATCAAGAGTGGCCACTGTTTAGACTGGTCTCTTCATGCAGACCTGACAACGACTGATGATATTTTCTAGTTCTCCTGCTTTCAAAGTCTGTGGCAGAGGTTTCCTAGAAGAAAGAAAACAAACATTTACCTTTTTCTTTAAAAAACAGGAAGAGATGACGGAACTTCGGATATGGAAGTTTCGTTGACAACAGTACTGAAATCCTTGGCTCACTTAAGGCATCTTTGTGCTACAGAATGACCCTAAACCTAACAAAGGGGGATGTCTAAACTGAGAGGAATTACTAGGGGAACCCCCACACGTTATGCAGGCAGTTATTGTCTCCTCGGGCACTTGCAGCACGGATGCGATGCGTATGGATGCAGAGAAGTACAGTTTACCTGAACATTCTTCTTGGATTTAACGATGCCAACCAGAAGCTGTAGGAATTTGTGTAGTAGTTGCACGTCCCCCTGCCATGGCACTCTATGAATGGGATGGCTCGAAATTCTTCCAAACAAGATCCAGGAGATGCCAATGCTTGGCCAGAAGCTTCCGAGCCAGCACTTGTATACTGTAACCACCAATACATTTTTTAATGAGAACTTGTTCATCAACTTTTAGTAAACTGCAGGCAAAAAAAAAAAAAAAAAATCTCCTTCTAAAACATACCATATGTTCTGTGGTATATCTCGGGCAAAACAAAATGAACACAGATTAGTTTTATCAAACCTACGATGAAGCGCAGAAGCCTTAAGAAAATTCAAGCACAGTTATGGCATTTCGCAAGTCCCTCCAAAGACCTTTTTCTGCTCCATGAAAAGGCACGAAACTGTAACCAGTACAAAGACCAGAAAGTAGCTGGCTTCTGTCCAGTTGAGGACTACAGTAAATGAATTACAAATAAGCCAAATCCCCTATTTTGTGTGTTCATATTTTTTGTTGCATTGATTGCTTCTCCAAACACAAAAAGCAAAGAAGGCTTTTCCTTCTCTGACGTTGGTAAATGCCTGTAGAAATAGCTCTAAAATAATTCACGACAGTAGAAAATTGGCTAGAAGGTACCATTTAAATTTCCTGATGTTGGAAACAAGCAAATGATTTTAACCAGATGCTGTAAAAGTTCCCTCATTCTTTTCCAAGATTATTGTTATTATTACTTAGGGCCAAGTCCCAGGAGAGACAACAAATTTCACACTAGACCTAAAAGGACTTCACATCATGCAAAAAAGAGGGATTTTTAATTCTGTCTTTTACCCTCATTTACTGGCATCCCTATGACATCCCACAGGCACGTATAAGAAAGATGAAGTGCTACGTCCCCTAGCATAGCTACACCCTTATTCCCACACTCAGTTCTCACCTTGCAGGCACGCTATGAACTTGCTTCGCTCATATCTTGTTCTGGCATCAAAATTGCTGAGGCAGTCTTTTGTAGACAGCACACTGCATTTGTTTTGATTTTAGCTTTCTGTGGAGTTCAGCCCTAAGATCCAATTTATAAAAGAACCACTTGGCACTGAAGTGGGTCAGTTATTTCTGTGTTCAGGGCCAGTTTAACCACTCCACTCCCCAAACCTGTTTCCTAGATCTTAGCATGATGCATGAAAATGAGAGCATGCAGTTATTTTTGTCAGACTAAAATCCTATGGTAGTCCTTTCATCTTTTCCCCTTTCTTCCTGCCACCTATTTTGAAGGACAGATCGGAATAGTTGTTCCTATGCTTCTGGCATTAAATAAGAGTTAATAGAATTATTGTCTGCTCCTTGGGAAAGGAAAAAAAAAAGATTTAACAACTATTAAGAAACAAATGAGCTATGAGCAGATGAAAATGCCAATGAAAGCGAGAAGAGATAAAATTAATAATTCAAGTCTTTATATCCTTACCATAACAAAAGAAAAACCCTTCCAGAGAGCTGTCCAGCCTTCTGGACATGCAGGAACTACAGTTGTTTGGCTGTGAACTGCTATTACCATTGCAGCTCCTTCACAGACAGCACACCTGTACGAAGAAATACGCATGCATTCAGTGCAGAGATGAGGGAAAACAGACAAAAATTGTATTTCTAGGGTAGCAGCTACCTAATGGCAGGGCTTGTTGTCAATGTTACAGCTCACACAGGTTTTCTGTTTAATGAGGAGATAATTAAATTGAAGATAACCCAAATACCTTGCTTTGCAATCTCTACTAGTAACACCAGACAAAAATTGATAGAGATGGGAATTAGTCCCAGAACATTTGAGCTTTCTAATTTTGCCTTTACTGAAGTAACAAGCTAAATTTTACCTTCTTTGTGTGCTCACCACTGACGTTGTTATGGTTTAGATCAAAGTTCTGTACCTTTATTTGCTAAGATTAGAAAAAGTAATCTTTGTTTCCTAAATGAAGAAACTATGAAGGTGAGCTACTAGATTGCAACAACTGGGTAGGGCAGGCTAGAAGACCAAGTGCAAAGCTTGCCTTCTCATCTTTCCTTTTGCCACTCTTGGTCTTTCATGCTTTTAGAGCTTTCCTCTTAAGATGCTCTTCATCCTTCGTAGCTCTTCTAAAGCAACTAGAAAGGGCCACATTTGCACGAGGGTGTTTCATAGCAGAGAACCTTCAGCCCCAATTTACAATGTTCTTCACCCAACTACAGTAAATGTATCACACATAGTTGAAAGCAGAACTTGATTTGTACTGTATTCCAAATAATGAAGCTATTTAATTTTAGTCTGCCTCTGCTATACACAACAATAGGTTTTTAAAAAAATATCACTGCAAACAGTAAGACTGTGTGCCATTTTCTCATGTCAGCTATGCAGATTAAGCCCTGTGGTGGGACCCTAGCTTTAATCTAACTTTTCTTAGAGTATCACTGAATATCTGACATATTCAGGTGAGTAAACAAAATTCAGGTGGTTAAAAACAGTGCTTGTACTGGCTGAGATGGGCAGGTCTTTGCCTAAGATTTGCAGTTAAAAACTATTCATGGCGTCTTTGTGGTTCCAGGACAAGAGAGCTAAAATTCTTATACTCTTACCTGCTTATATGGGGCTCTAGTGCCCTGCCAGAAATGGGTGCCATGTCTACTGGCACTACTGCTGCAGCTGACAGCCAGTATGAATAGTCATTGCGAGAAGCAAAACTACAAACATCATTGGTGTTACAGAATAAGAATGGCATGGTGGTAAATCTCTGCAAGCAGCTACCAGCTGTTCCTAAAAGACAAAAGAGGAGAGTTTTGTGACAAACAGGAGATTGTATTTATTGCAGCCAACAGAAGAGACACATGATGGCATCCAGTCTACTATAGTGAGAATTAAAACAGTTGGTAACTATAAAGAGAGAAGTGTCTGTACAGTGGAATTATACGAAAGCAAAATGCTTATGGTATATATAAAAATATGTATATAAAAAAATACGGGCTAAGAACAAAATCTGTTAGAAATAGTAGTATCTCGTTGAATGGTATTGGTCCTTGACACAGTGGCAGGGATTCAGCTGCTTAAACAAAAGCTTCTGGTGCCAGAAGCACCTAAAACATCCAATTTAGTCTCAAAAAAAAAAAAAACAACAACAACAAAAAAAAACCAACAACAAGATTCTCTCTCAGATCTTGTGTTGTTACTGTCAGCCCTGTGCAGATGTTGTGGACATTCATACTGGACATGTATCCAAAAGTAACTGAATTCATCCTCAAAAGCATCTAGGGATAGCAAAAAGGGAATATAGGAATGCAGGAAAGAAAGGTGTCTTTCAAGCCACGACTCCTGAATTGACTCAGAGCAGTAGACCACTCCAGAGACTGATAGTTGAAACCAATGTTCATTTCGGACACTTACTGTGAGTTTGGTTTCATGAAGACAATTTAGCATTACTGGACTTTAAAGAACATGATCTGAAAATTTTTTACCAATACAGTACCAAGATCTTGTCCATGTGCTCGTTCATTTCCTTGTACAAAAAGCAGTGAATAGCCAACATAGATCTGCGATGTCCCATGAGGGCATGAAGGAATCTTTGCTGATTGACTATGCCGGGTAAAGATAAAGCCTCTTCTTGTTGGACCAGCAATGATAGTACCTGGTGATCCAGGTAACCCCTGTAAACCTGGAAAGCCAATCAGTCCAGGTTGTCCTGTGGAAGGGAAAGAAATACGACTGCAACTGTTACAATTTGGTTTGAATTTTTACTTCATTTAAATTAGTGGAACCACTTGAAAACTTACAAAAAAATTATCAGTCAGAATATACATCTTGAAAATCGGTAGTATTTGTTGCTAGATGTATTAACTCCTTCAGACCTAGCTCAGGCAGCTTTACATTGCATAGTTTCATGGAATAGCGAGATATTTTAAAGAACCATGGCCATTTTTACCAAAAAAGTTGTAAAGTAAAAACATTTTATGGTGACTAAATAAAAATATTTAGTTCCATTTTGATGTCCTATAAAGGCACACTGATACCTAGGGATTTCAAGTGGATAAATAGATGTGACTAATAACAAAGCAGCACAGTCAAGGCATATTTTTGTAAATCATTATTTCGGTTGTGAACATGCAGCTGTTAAAAGCTAAGAATGTGCTTACGTGTGCTCGTGGCCCTAAAGCTACTGCAAATGTCACAGAATCTCAATACATGCAAGAGGAAGGATTTACAGAAATCAGGAATACAGTTTATCTGTAAATTCACTAGTAGCAGTCAAAGAGAGGTGTCTGCTTTCCTGTACCTCTTTGTCCTGGAAATCCCCTGTCTCCTTTTGGACCAGGCAGTCCTGGTTTACCTGGATGACCAAAACTTCCTGGAAGACCTTTTACTCCTTTAGGTCCTAAATTGTAATAAAGAAAAAAAACAGAATAATATAGCAGTAGTTATTCTAGATTTTAATACCTGTTAATGAATAAAGTTAAAATCCTCATGTAGCTGCGTTAGAATAAAAACATCAGCATGAATTTACTAAGTTTTGAGACTGTCTGTAGTGTTACTGTCACTGTATTTCCTATCAGGAAGATTACAAGGAAATACTGGATGTACTGCAGAAAAATATTATTCTCATAAGAAATGTTTACAGAAACCAAAGCAAAGAGGTTTTTCTTTTAGCATGTGTCATACAACAGAAATATTTCAAAAATATAGTAACAGGCCATAATCATCTTGGTCACGGTTTGTAATCCTACAAATAATGCAGCTCCTCTGTAAAACAACTTTAAGGGAAGAGTAAAAGAGCAATTCTTTAGTGCCTGCTCTGTTACGCTGGAGGCAACAGCCGTTCCTGAGTGGCGCATGCCTTCTGGGAAGCCTGCACCCCTGAGGAGCTCCCTCCTGGGGTGGAAACCTGTGGTATTGAGAAGGGTGGCCAAGTACCCACTGCACATCCTCCCTGCTCCTTGCTCCCCCATTCCTCACAGCCGTGGCAGGCTCCACTTCTAGTGCCAATGGAGAAGTAACCAGCCTCTCCTTTCCCTTCCCACCCCCAAACTATGACAGACACAATCACTTTTAGCACATCTAGAGTACTTCTATTAGGAGTGGTAATTTCCCCCCCAAAATGACAAACATCCTGAGCATAGTTCTGGTTGTATGAAAATGGTGAATATTTGGTCCAAGTTTACTTTTCATTCCATTATTTTGCTTAGGCTTATGTTGAGGGAGAAACTTACTTACTCACTCACTGTGAGGGTGGAGGGCAGATGGAATGGGACAGGTTATAAATACAAGGTTGTTAACAAGGTACAAAGAGCTATTTTTAAATATGGAGAGGTATTTTTAAAGACACGTCAATTTGCTATGCAGAAGCATGTTTTCCCGCCAAACCAAAATGTTCCACTAAGCAGCACACACAAACACGTACAGAGATAAAAATATAAACCACCTTGTAGTCCAGGAATCCCTTGAATTCCTTGATCACCTGGTGTTCCTGGGACTCCTGGCAGTCCAGGAGGACCCTTGCTTCCTGGGACAGAGAATATTATCCCAGGGACTCCAGGTGGACCTAGCAGCAAAAAATATAATGAAGAGCTATTGCTTTATATTAAAAGAAAGCAAGCAAACTACAAAACAAACCAAACAAATTAAGCGAAGTCAGCTGGTATTAGAATGAGAAAGGTTGGTTACCATGCTGGCCCTTTGGTCCCCTTGGCCCTTCTGCACCTTGTGGTCCAGGGGGTCCTTGATTACCCTTTTCTCCTAAAAAAGAAGATTGGAGATACGTCTGCCTGGTTCAAAATGTCATAACAACTGTCAGAGTTTCAAAGGCTTATTTAAGAGTCCACGCAACCTTCCCGAAGAGTTACACAGCCTGTAGGCTCATTTGAAATGCGAGAGTGGACTTCTACATCTCTGCTGTTACTGTATAGTTTATAGGCCAAGTGCAGTCACTTTGTAAGAAGATGTTTCCAGGCCTATCTTCATATAATGGCTGGTCCCATAAACCTAGCTTAAAATCTGAACTTCAGACTATGTCCTTGTTATCTTATCAAGTGTTTTTGTCACTTGAGTTTGCAGGTCAAGTGCTGCCTTCAGTGATGCTGTGCAGTTCAACTCCCTTTAAACCCTACTGTCAGTTATGCTGATGGCTCTTCTTAGGAGGGTTGTATAGTTTTTCAAGTGCTTGAAACTTAATAAGCAATTCTTTTCACTGTGCAAAATATGAGGTTACATCCCGATTACTCTCCACAGCTCTGCTGGAAATAAATAAAAATGTATTTTTATCAACCAGTCAGAAGATTTGACTGACTATGCCATGAAACGAGAGCTTTTTACTTAAGAAAGTATAATTACTGTCTGTATGGTGACTTTTCAAATTAGAACAAATTTAAAATACACAATAATTAGCATGGAACACAAACCAGTAGGTTAAACAGGTAATGACAATTTTCTGTCACTGTAAATCATGCAATTGAAAAATGAGAATACTGGAGTAATGCAGACCTGTATCAGACTTAAATCACTAGAAAAATGTCTAAATTAGAAGGATTTTTAGCCAGCTACTGATCCAACTAACCCTCAGGAATAGGAAATTAATGAAGCCAATACATTTAACAGTTCATCTGCTGATAAATTAGCATATAATTGGGACTATTCTTACGGCAAACAGAGAACCCAGTGCTCTGTGTTGTAATTATGATTAAACGCTTTTGAGTTCTATAGCTAAGAGGTTACCAAAAAGTCACATCTTCTAGCAGTGGTGTGGCATTTCTAATTAGCAGACTCAGTCCCAAAGTCCGTACACATTATTAGTCACTAAGGACAAACTTGTTTGGAATTTGCCTGGAATGGAGGCCACTGAAGTTTCAGACCTTCCTCACTTCAGCATCAGTTTGGATGTACCCATGGCATCTAACTCAAAGAAAATGCTCTCTTAGTGAACGCTTTCATTTATAGCTGACCTACACCCCGCTCTTGATGGAAAAACCTCATGTCTCTAGGACCACACCTGGTACTATTACACACATACTGTTATAATGCAACGTGTAAATGATTATGCTTGGCACACAGAAGTGTATGTAATAAGTACATCAATACCTTTTACACCTGGGAATCCAAGAAATCCAGGGTCCCCTCTAGCACCAGGATAACCTGATCGACCTTCTAATCCCTGCAAATCAGATAACACCAATAATAAACAGGAAGCAGCATCTGCATGCTGTGAAGTACATTTTTTTTTTGTTCAGAGTATTCAAAGCATTATGTTCACAGAATATGCTACAACTAGAATTATCTGCTCCATTTGTGAGCATGTTAGAAATAGTCATATCATTGTTAATATTATTCTGTAATACAGAATGGCCAAGGAAATGACATGCTAGGAATTCACAACAATTTCTTTTTGGTCCACTTAAGTCCATAAAAACTGCTTTTCATATCCATTTTAATATCTTTCCTCTATTACAAGGGCTTTTTGGGAGGATGTTGGGGTTTGTTTGGGTTTGTTTGTTTTTTGTTTTGTTTGTTTAAATTGTCCTGGGTGTTATTTTCATGGTAAAAGCAAAATTAACAATGGAGTAAAAACCAAGCAATATTCCTTTCACTGACTTTTGGACCGGGAGGACCAATGTTGCCGGCTGGGCCTGTTGGCCCTGGTATGCCATCTGCCCCTCTAACACCTTTGCTTCCTTTCATGCTGGGAGTGGGAAGACCAGGAGGCCCTGGAAAACCAGGTGCACCTGTACAGAAACATCAGAGTAAGTAACAACTACTGCCAACAGCATTTCACATACATTACATACAACGCAGTCCAACGTTCAACGACTCTATGATGGTACTCATGTTTACGATCTCAGTGATTCCCAAAGAAATATATCCATTTAAAAAAAAAAATCAACTCATTTTTCCTAGCCTGCTAATTTAATCTGAGATCAGAGCTGAGTTCTTGCAGTACTCTATAGCACTACAGTTTTTTTAATACCCTCCAGTTGTAGTTATGCCTCTACTCATACTCGTGCTATCTCACTTCTTTAAAGTTGATCTCAGCTATCCTACAGACTGCATGGGAAGAAAGCAAAATAATGCAATTGAGTGGACTGCAAAGCTTGGCGTTATTTTAATTTACATCATACTGCATAGACCAGCATGGTGTTTGCAACGGTAACATTGCATTAACTGCTACAGGAACTACCTGTTTAATTATGAAGCTGTCTTGGGGGAAGACCCCTTTCAACCTTGAGTTCTGGACAGGCTGAATTCTGCTTTCAATTATCAGTATATCGTTTCAGATAAATACGGAGTTATAACAACACACCTGGTCTTCCATCTGCACCAGCAATGCCTCTATTCCCTTTTTGGCCAGTAATTGCCATGCCTGTTGTGCCTTGAAATCCAGGTAACCCCACTAAGCCAGGAGGTCCAATGGGTCCTTGATCACCCCGATGACCTTTCATACCCGGTGGCCCAGGAAAACCAGGCAGTCCCATGTCCCCTTTGACTCCTGCAAAGTACAAGTATTACATTTGGGGAGATCTGTCAAGATAGTAAGGTGATGTGACTACATGGAATATGTGTATTTACTATACCGCAAAGGTGGAATTCAGCCTTTGGTTTTAGTATGGAGAAGTCCCCAAAACCACCTTGCTACTGTAAAGCAAAATAGTTGTGAGAAGACAGGACTCGCTGCAAAGCAGTGTACACACCACTCTTCTTTTTTTCTTTGTTTTTAATTTTTTTTTTTATTTTTATTTATTTTTTTTTTTTGAAAACGCCACTTCAGAGGTCGCTCATACAAAGGAATAAACTTGAGAGAAGGCTAGAAAGACCAGAGCAGGGAATATTTCTTGATGCATGAGTAGAAGAAATGCTTCTTTGAACATCAGAACTGGCAAATCCTTTTAAACTAAATTCCAGCTAAAAGCATCAATATGAGTACACTAAAATAAGAGACTACCCCAAATGGATATTGCTCTAAGGTTGATCTTAGAGTTGATCCATATATCGAGATCTATATATGGAGGGTATGAAGAGAGAAATTTAAGTAAAGCACATCAATGGATTTCTACCAGTACTAGCAATACAATGCAAAATCTAAAAAATGGGAAGAGTCCCCTCAAGTCAACTGTTCATCAATATAAAAGGGGAGATGAACAAAATTAAAATGCAATCACTGTAGCTTTCTTACAGTATGCTTTGTATTCAGCAGCAGCATCTGTTTTCATTACAACATACTCCGTTAATCAAATTATGTATCAAAATAGAATTTCAAAAGCTTTAGAATGTGTGTATCACCTTCACAAAACCGTAGAAGTTAGCTTCTTTATTTCCCTTTTACAATAGTCTTTTAAGTTTACAAGCAAGAACTCTTGACATTTAATATATAGCACCAAATCATTGATCAAGAGCACAGAACCACTCTTGATTTCCTCTGACTCTCTTAATGCCATTTCAAGCATCCAAAAGCAGGAGGTGACTTAAAGATGATGATTCTGCTGTTTAAAAATTAAGCTTTTGCTTTCTGGAAAGACAACTCACCTCTACGACCAGGAATACCTCGAAGGCCAGGAATTCCTCTCCCTGGTGGTCCTATAAAATATTAAGTCACGTTATACTCGAAGTCCTGAATAATTGTTAGAAAACATCATAGTTGTTTAATATTTCATACATTTCTTCAGAATTCACTGAATCAAAATGTCTATTTTAGTTATATGTGAAATATAATTTATTGGTTATTTCCGTTTCTTCTATCCAGAAATACAAATTAAATTTATAAAGTTCTTCTTTATAGTAGGAACTCTTATTGATCAGTCATATTTAAGGTACATTCTACAACAATAAGTTTTGTCTTTTTTCAGAGGAAAAGAAACAGAAGAAAAATCTGTATTTAAGTTAGTAACTAAGAAAAATAAAAGAAGAAATGTAAATACCTAAAAAAGAAAATACGTTAACAGTGACTACTTCAAGCTTAATATGAAAAATCCTACTAAATACTATGAATGCCTGCTCAGTATCCTCTTTATACTCATATGCAAAGAAACATTTTCACTGTGAAATATGAAAACACTTTCTGTCAGATTTAGTCCTCCACTGAATTCTATCTGTGGACATTGATGACGTCAGGAGTGACATTTAAATGAAAGATTTTACAACCTAAGGGCCAGGTCGTGGAAACCTTCACTATTCATGTAAGTAAACACTGTGATTCCTTTTATCTTATTTCCACGTAAGAGAGGAGACTCCTTTAAAAGGATTTCGGTTCTTTTCATCTCTTTGAGATTAAACATGTTAAGAACAGTTAACAGCAATACTTTGGCTCTTGCAGACATTAACATTTTTAGGGGAAGTTACAGCAAATCACATGTATAATAGAGCAGTGACATACGTATTCGGGTTGTTGACAGTATGTACAACAATTATATAGAAAAACCTGTGAATTACGTAAAAGTGAAAAACCTTCTACTTATAAACTTATCTTCGGCTCCACAGAAGCTCCTTATTAATCTTTGTCAGTTTAACTAGGGAAAAAAACAATTGTAAAATAGCATGAAAATATTTCACTGGTGTTACCTGGTTCTCCCTTTACTCCTGGGGGACCAGGCATACCATCCTGACCTTGATTACCTCTTTCACCAACAACTCCAATTCTTCCAGGGTCTCCAACAGCACCTGTGAATTTTAATGGACCACAATATCATTTTCACTTCTACTATTTTGCATTTCAAAGGGAGAAGATATGAGTCCCCTTTATTAAAATTTAATTAGTTCAGCTACTTCAAAGATAGATGTAACCTGTGTTGCTATATAAATATTTGTAAAGACCAGCATGTAATTTTTATTGAGCTCACTGGACTTCAGTGGATTTAAAACCCCCACTATTTTCACAGGCAATAACTTTCTGTCTTTCAAAGACATTTTAGGACCCCGCCTTTCATTTAACCCACACTGGTGGGAATCCATACGGGCAGCATGGTTTCTCTCCCTGGCTTTATTACAAATTCAAGGTTTCTCTAAACAGGGAATAGATTCTGATCTTTGCTAACTCTGCTGATAAGTCAGTGCAAGTTCACTAAAGTCTACAAAACTACAAAATCATAATTTTGATGAGGATCTCTGAATATAAGAGCATTCAATGCTCTTTTTGAAGACAATGACTGGCACTCACTCTAATAAAGTCTGCATTGCGTACTTCTCTGTTGCTGCATATTTACACACTCCCCCTTAAGTATATTTTGAATCATTTGATCTTTTCTGTGGCTTAAACAACTGCAACTCTGTCTCCTCTTTCCACTCCAATTCATTTTCTTCTCCTCATCTAGCTACATCTTAGTTTATTATTCTCTTTTAGGAGGTAGAACAAGCCTTTCTTACAATTGTGTGGATATCGCATCTTGAGACCTCTGGATGGAAAAAAAAAAAGGCAAAAAGCTTTACAATAGTGAAACAAAAGTAAAACATCTTGCCTCAGCTGAACTGGTAACATTGAAAACAGGCTGTTAAAGACCTTAGCTGGTACCAGAGAAGGTAAACAAAGCCTCAAACTAACATAAACAGAGACTGCAACTGCATTAGTTAAATTCTAAAAAGCTCAGAACAAAAAGAGCATCAACTGCCTCATTACAAAGAAAATAAAAAACCAGGGGGCAGTGATTTGGGAGAGATGTTATATATCATACCAGGAGGGCCTGTAATGCCCTGTTGTCCTGGGCGGCCCTGCCGTCCTTTAACACCAATATCTCCAGGAGGTCCAAGCTTCCCTGTAAGAAGAAAGTGTGGGAGGGGAGAAAAGGCATTATCACTAGATCCAGACTCAGACTGAGAACTTTGCTATCATTTCTGCTTCAGACAGCTGCGAAGGATCTCTAGCTGATGTAAGCCAGCCTGGCTGCGCTGACTACAGAGGAGCTGTTTAGGTGTACAGCAGTTGAATATCAATGCGCTCCCTCACAGGCACCCTGTGTAGTTCATTGAGAAATTACCTTCTTCTAGAAGCACGTCAACATCTCACCACCCCTCCAAAACAAAACATACCTGGGATTCCTGCACCTCCAGTTTCCCCTCTAATCCCATGTGGTCCTGGTACTCCTTTATGTCCTGGATGACCTTGGGATCCTTTTTCTCCTTTGCTGCCCAAAACTCCTGGGAGGCCTGGATCTCCCTGAGAAACAGCAGTTACACACAAACAGGTAAGAATAATTAAATACATTACATTCCATATTTGAACAATAGAAAAATCATATGTAACTTTAAAGGTTAAGTAAGTTTAATCATGGTTCGTTATGATTTTCAGAGAAAAATCAAAGTAGACTAATATAAAATCTTCTCATAATACACCACTGATCCTTCAGACATAGCTAAGAAAAAAGAGATCTTTCTTTAATCTGTACAGCCAACTTCAGCCTTTAGATGTTTCCACCTGCACATAGACCTCCCTTCAATTTTATTCTAACAGCTCCTCTTTTGATCCAAACATACATTCCTTACATAATATGCAGCTATACAAAATACGGAAATGCATTCTTTTTCCTTGAATTCCTACTGACTTTCATGACAGTAATCTCATTGCAGCTACCCAGCTAATACAGAAAATAAACAGATAATTTAGACAGATTACAGGAGTTATAGTACAGTTTACAGCCTCAACCACGTATTTCAGATAATCTCATACGTAAAAAGAGTCCCAGTTGTTCAACACCCAGAATATGCGGAGTAAAATTGTATCCCATTGACCTAACTTAAAAGAAACTGTTTTTTTTCTTAGCAATATATACTATGTTCAGTAATATACATTGCTAAGAAAAAAACAATTCATCTTATGCGATATTATTAGACTGTCAAAAACCAACAGTACAATTTTAGATTACAAAACTTACACATTTGCTAAGATTAGGTTTTTCTGTACTTAACATACAGGTATTCCTACTGCTGACTTTTTAAGCGTCCTTGTTTAAGTCCTTGTTCTTAATGGATTAGTAACTTTTAAAAAAGCAAAGTTATTTCCAAGATATTCCATTTTTACAAATAAGAAATTCTTGCACCAGGAGAAACATGAAATATAATGAACTTAAAAATTTCTCCCGAGTAATGACACAACAGGATTTTCGTATTTCTTATCATTAACAAATCATCTACTTCTGCAAACTCTGCAGTTCTTGCTTACATGTTGTTCCGTTTCTATAGTCAAAGGCTCTGCTTATTGCCTAATATGACAATGTTTCCATTGCCTTTATACCTTTGGACCAGGTTCTCCTGGAGGCCCAGCAGATGGGTACCCAGGTTCTCCTTTGTCACCTGGAAAGCCACCATAGCCTGGTGGACCAGCGTCACCTGATGGTCCTGGAAAGCCTGGAGATCCTTTCTGTCCTTTTGGACCTGGAAAAATACAGATACTTATACCCATACCATTCTTAAAAGGATCGTAATTGCATACTGCACCTCGTGTTTTTTGAACTACTGCTTGTATATTCGGATATTCATTCTTCATTGAAGTAATTTACACAGCCAGTAATTTCATTTCTAAACACAGTAAGAAGAGGTTCTTACATGTAACAACATATAAATGGAAGAAGTTATATTTCATTTAGAGAGAGGGAGAACTGCATTCTGCAACTCAAGCAAATGCTGGGGTGGTGAGAAGTCTATAGGAATGGCAAAGAATAAATACCAGTCTAAGTATTGTGTAGTGTGCTTACAGTAACTGCTCAGATCTGTGCAAATGCTTCTATACAGCTCTACGAATTTGTAATATGGCTTGATAGAAAGTGACCTGGAATTCCCATGTCCCCTTTGTTTCCTGGTGCACCCGGGAATCCTTGTCCTCCAGGAATCCCTGGAAGACCCATAAATCCTTTGACACCTGCAAGATGAAGAAATAAGTGTCATCTTAAGTTTGCTTTAGACACTGGCTGGCTAGCAGAGCTGTCATGAATACAGAATCCTCTACCACACACCCTGTCATGGTATCTTATTATTTTAAAAATCAACATGCAGCCAAAGTATAATTCTTCCTCTTGCCTCAGACACAGATAAAATTATCATTGTTGTTGTCATAAAGTCAAGGAAATAACGAGCATCTTATGTATCAACATTAAAATTAAGGTTTGTAACCACAGTACTTAGGGGTGGCAACCGAAATACACTTTTGCAAATTTTGATCAAGATCATGAATTTGTATTTACACACTGGACTCTCCTTTCATTGTCCCCCTGAGTTTAGTCTGGTTTCTGGGCATGTCACAGTCACATTATTACTTACTCATTATGCACTTCTCACAACTAGTATACTCAAGAGCTTTTTCTTATATGGCTTAGCACTTTTCCCCCCACTCACTTATCTTTAGCTTAATTTAGCTAAATTAGCATTCAGTTTAATGACTACAAGATCTAGTTGCATCTAGAACGTCCAGATGTCTAAATTCCAGGGTACTAGCAATGCCTGAACATTTAGGCAGGTGAGGTCTTCTTTTCTTCCATAAAAAGTTAGGGAGTAGTGGAGCATTTGCAGTTTTTCCTGTGATGGCTACACTGCAATGACTACAAAGGATGTTAATGACAGAATGTAGCAGTGATGCTATAACAACATATAGCATGGATAATTGCCATTATGAGAAGAGCCATTTTGATTACAAGCTTAAAATTATTTCTAGTTGTCACCATTTTTATGTACCTAATTATAGTGTCATATGGTTTTCTAGAAAGAAGTTATCTCAAAGAATCAAAAATACAGAATACAGAGAAGTAAAGATGTTTTATTAGCATTAATTTGAAAAATAGATGCATTGTCTCACTCAAGGGTCAACATATATCATTATGTATGATGTTATGGTAATGGCAGAGCAAAACTTTTGTGAAATGGCTTAGGTAGGTTTATAATTCATGCAGGTTCTTTTTCAGTCTGCTTTTCACTGAAGACCTGGTAACTTTCAAAATATAAGCCAAACATGCAGGCTTTGAAAAGGGAAACAGAATCAATCTGAAATAAAAAAGAAGCTTCCGAAGTATTTTTGTGCACAATTGTAATGTTCCTGTTTTAGAATTCTTACTTTTTTTTCATAATATTGGGAATTCAAACGTCTCTTCACTGTTATAAATACTGAATTTTATTCATTGGCCTTACCAGCTTTTAGATTTTAAAGTTATTATTATTCAGGATTTAATATTATTTTCTATTTATCACCCCAAACAATGGTCTGTATTTGGAAGGAAACAGAGAATCATTTGGCGGTAGCTGCTATGATTTTCAAATAGCAGCTTTTGATGCTCTGTTTCAGAATTCTCAGAAAAGCCTCAGAGTTAATATAGAGAACGTAGTGCTGCTGCTGGAGCCAAGTTTATGGGCTAGCATCGAGGTAATATTATCCCTACCCTCCATGTGATACAGTAATTTTCAATATACATATTCCATACCTGCTAGACCAGGTATTCCTTCAGGCCCGTCAAGACCTGGGGGACCTTGCACACCGGCATCTCCTTTTTCTCCTCTTAGACCCATTCTTCCTTGAACACCTAAAACAAAGTTTCATTAAAAAAAATTACAAAACAACATCTTAGAATATAAGTTTTATGTGAAGTTTAAAGTTTTATAACTCTTAAAACTAATGAAGCAGAAGTGGGGCATAGGATTTTCACTCTGCGACCACACACAAGCAAGACACAAGTTCACAGTTAATGCCCTCTGCATTTCTCATATGGAGACAAAAAGAAGTTTCTGAAAGCTTCCATAGAAAAATGTCTACACAAAAAGCCAGATAGCATTAGTTAAGCATGTACAACTCATATACAGAGAGTCTATATTAATATTGCAAACAAAGGAATTCTTCTGACAGTCAAGTATTTCTAAGCAGACTCCATTTCTTTGCAATCTAGCATCTAGTTGGTAAGGACACCCATTTCTGTGTTCACGGGCTACTAAATGTGTAAAAAACCATGAATGTATAGCATGCAGGTATATAAGCCTCCTAGTACTACTGACATATTAATACTGGTTTAACTTCACAGTAAAAGTTTTTTGAAGGAATATGGACTTGTTAAAATGGAAGTAAATATTCAGTGTAATATCCAACTATCTCATAAATAAAAAGGCAGTTACAGCGTTCAGCAATAATTATTTGAAAGCCATGTGAATACTCTCAGTAGTAGAGTCAGTTTCTTCCGTGTTTTAGAGTCCACTGGAACTGCAACATAGATAACAACCCTAACTAGTTTTGGATGACAGCACAATGCATGTGTACCTTTTAAGCCTTGTTCTCCTTTAGTCCCAATACCAACCAAGGTCTCAGATGGTCCAGGAAAACCTTTATCACCTGGTTCGCCTTTTGCTCCAAGAAACCCTTTTCTTCCCTTTAGTCCTGGGAAGCCAGAAGAACCTGCAAGAAAACATGATGAAATTTTCTGAAGAAACCTGACTAGACGATAGCATAAAGGCAGCAGTGAAACTCCCGTCTTCAAGGACAACTACGAATGTAAATATACATTCCAAATCAACAACCTAAAGTAGCTTCTTAATTACTCCAATCATCAATAAAAAATCTATGAGCACAAATTATGGCAAGAGATGGTAATTATTTCTTATACTGAATATATGTATAATCTTTTATCTGTTGAATAGATATAATAATGGTATTTGGAATGGGATAGAAAAAAAATAGAGCAAAAAAACTCTCTGCTCTTTATTTAGCAAATCACCAGCCGCTTTTACAAATACCAATGAAATAGAAAGGGTGGCAATTCCAAACTGCTAAAAAAAAATAAATCATGTTGTCATTCAGTTTGTAGACTGCACATATACGGAAGTCAAAGATTTACCAAGACTCAAGGAATTCTGGCATGACACGCATACTCAGAAGTGATAACATACATCAAGGTGGATCACAAGACTACTTCAGCATGGAAGTTCCTATATTCTAAGTAATAATGAAGGCAGATACTACGGCCACTTGCCTCTGATACCCGGGTTGCCTGGTCTTCCAATCATGCCAGGGGGTCCAGGAATTCCTAACAGGCCCATTATACCTGGCTCTCCCCTTGAGCCTGTGGAATTGAAGAATAGGAACATATTTGTTAGTATTTGATCAGTGAAACAGAACATTACTTCAGAAAACTACACATGTGCCTGTCATTTAAGTGTTTAATTGCCTGTTTTATTTTTTCTCCATTTCTATAACATACTGTCAAAGCCAGTTTTCCAGTCTTTAACCACATGAACAGCACTTACACACACAGTAACCCCCAAACTACCTAGATTAGTAGCTGCAACAGCTTCTATCAATGAATGAAATAACTGACAGTGCGGATAATGTATCTGAGATATTCGCACAGGGATGGGAGACCTGTCACGGGATGTTCTGGCTCAGAAGTTGAAGGGCAGCTGGGACATGACAACTCCCCTCAAATGACATCAGAAACCTAGGTTTGCGCAACTAAGTCAAGCGCTACATGTTCATCATTAGTTTTATAGGTTGTATATATAAAAAGGTATGTACCATCTCCTTCCCACAGAATAATGCAGGATTTGATAGTAATGAAAACTCTTTGTTAGAGGTAAGAAGCATTACATACCCGATTTCTTTTATTCTACAAATCAAATTTGAACATGTTTCTGAAAAAAACCTACAGGGATTACCTACCTTACTTAAAGTTAGCTCTGGTTAACCTGACAGAGTTTGATCTGACTCGACTCTGTTAGACTCAAGATCTGAACTTGATTTTTAAGAAAAAGAAGGTAGCATTAACAAGCTATTTGTTTGAAAAGGGATGCTGAGTAAGAACTACTAAACACTTCACACTTCCATTATGCTGGGGAGTTGCTTTGAATGTTAACTGGTTCATGTCCTACTGCAAGGACATTACTGTGCGAAAAACAATGTAAGGCAGCCTTCCATTCTCAGAAGACCGTTATAGAAAATTCAGTACTATGTCATGACAGCTTCAAGATATGCTCATCGTTTAGGGAATGATGATTTATTTGTTTTCCATATAGACTGCAATGATATATGAAAGCTGTTGATAGAAAAACATTACAGCATCTTCAATTTGGAAAAGCACAACTGACACCTTTTTGCAGAGACTGACTTAATTTCTATGTCAAAACAAGTATTTGGGGAATCCTTACCTGGCACACCAGAAATTCCTGGCCTTCCAGACTGTCCCTTGGGACCAGGTAATCCTGTGTTTCCCTGAAGACCTATTAATCCAGGTTCCCCAGGCTTTCCATAGATTCCCGGGATACTCAAGCCAGGAGGACCTAGTTTTCCTTTTGAACCTTGCGAACCTCTTCCTCCTAAGAAAAATGCACGACAGTGTAGTATGGTACATCTGCCTGGAAAACAAACCTTCATCTCTATCTTGCCATCGTGAGCATGACACTCTTCTTGAACTCTGCCTGTTTGAGGGCTAAACATTAGATCTATAAGACAACATACACGTTCAGGAAATCTTAAGCGAGTTGTGGTGGTGGTTTTTTTTTTTTTTTAAAGTGGAAAAAAAAAAAGAGGCGGGAGTAGACAATTTTGTTCTTTCTCAGAAAATGAAATAAGAAACAAGCATGAAAACCCTACCAATTCTACATTCATTCTCTAAAAAACAAAAACAAAAAATCCTTTTCAGTTCATATATAGAAGGACTGTGCTGGGTACCCGAGTGTGTTTCTCTTGGAATGGAAATCATATGCAGTATATGCAGGTACTTTTAAGTCCCTAAACTGGTTTTCTACCTAGCTGAGCTCTTCCTGTTTTGTTTCTTTATCAATCGCATTGCACCAAGGAATCCAAGTTCAGCCCCGTACAGGAGACATGACTGAAATATCCTTTTTCCTGCGGAATTTGGGCCAGTTTGTGATAACTCTGTACTGTACAATGGCATCTAAATCTTAATCCATCTTAATCAGTGCATGTGTTTCCTCCCATCTGCAGAAAGTATATCTTGTAAAAGGGCTCACATTTTCTCACATACTATCCTATAATCAATATCCAAATCCAACTTCAGCTCCCTCAGGCCATTGGAAGGCAGAAACAAAACCCAGACCCACCCAGCCAAATGGCACATTTGATTCAGAAGGTCCTACCTGGTGGGCCTGTAGTTCCCTGGCCACCTGGCAAACCTGGCAGGCCACTAAGACATTCAGCAGGTTTCCCTGGAAAACCTGGATCTCCAGGAACTCCAGGTGAGCCATGATCTCCTAAAACAAAGGAGACTTGATTCACAATGATTTAAGTAGAAGTTTCAGGCTTTGCGTGAGCATTGTTTAACTTGGCTTCCCTTTCCTTAAAATAACTTGCTGTGCTCCTTGAGCTTGTTTGACAATAGTACCTCTTAGGCCATCATCACCATCATGTCCAGCACGCCCTGGCAGGCCTGCAAGTCCTGGAAATCCAGTATCACCTTATGCCATGACCTCCTGGTGAACCCAGTCTACCTGGCTCTCCGGGAATAACCATGCCTGGGTCACCCTGCAACACAGAGAGAAATGTAAACAATCCACATGTACTATGTTTTGCAAATCTGCCAAAATATTTTCTCCGCTGTGTGATCAATTAACTTCTTTCATTAGGGTAATTTTCTCCATTCCCTGGGGATCTTTCACATTAGATTTTTTAACGGCTCCAATTCAGCAGACCACTGGATGTCCCTTATTCACCAGCTGCAGGTTCCTCACCAGAGGAGTAATTCGTCTAGACAGCTTTTGAACTCTGTCTCCTAACTCTAAGAAATTGCTATTAAGCAATGCAAGACACTTCCCTCCATTTGGCCTTTTTTGGCCATTGTGATGCTTGCTGTAGCTGTGAAAAGCTTTGGACCTGTATCTGAAAATTTGGCTGAAGTTTGGGCAAATACAACTTTTCCTTTAAGTCATAGTTTTATCAAAATATTTATTTAAATAAACAAGGTCAGCACCCAGATGTGTCTCAGAATACCTGAAGTCAGTTACTGGGTTTTTTTTAATCATTTTCTGAACATTGTTTTCCTTGAAGATTGTTTTATCATAAATATCCCAAGTCTATTCCCTGAAAGGAAAGTTTGAATTGTGGTTTTTTTTGGCTGACTGAACTGCTGGTTGTTTTGAGTACTAGCAAATCAATATGTTCATAAAGCAGGTTAGTAGAGCTGAGCTTATACTAGCCACTGATGATATACTTGGACCACAAAGGCCACTCCACATCCAGCTGTTCTGTGGCATCAAACACAGATTAAGTAATAATTAAAAAAATCCACAACCCCAAACTCCACACTTGTCATGTCAAAAAAAAAAAAAACCCACACAAAATGACATACAAACACACAAAAAAAGAATTGCCACCTTTTAAGAACATTTAGGTGTTATTATTTTGTTCAAATTTGAATCCTGATTAGAGAGTAGTCAAGAATCCTACACTTACTTATGTCATCAGTAGATTAGCTTCTGGTCATCAGCAAGAGTGGCTGCAGTATTACCTCCAGCCTACTTCCTTTACACTTCAATTCAACAGAGCACTTGCTTAAATTAAATGCATACTTACCTGTCACTGACCTCCATCAAATATGTGCTTAATTGCAATTTCTGAATAGCCATCTTTTCAGAAGCTGTGGCCTTAATTTTTTGCCATCAGCAATGCAATATCCTCCTTGTGCTCTGAAAACTGAAGTACCAAAACATCCCAAACAATTGGAGTTCTGAAATCCTGTATCTGAATTCAAAATTTTGGCTTGAGCCCCTTTATATATAAACAATTTAATTTCATAGTTTGTGCATCACTGGTCAGGAAATATAGGAACTCCTATATTCCTTAATTTATTTGCTCAGTGTCACATTTAATGAATGGGACCTATGGAAAAGTCTGTGCTGTATTTCTAACCAAACCTTTTCTCCTGGTTGTCCCAGGTTTCCAGCTCGGCCTGGATCTCCGATCTTTCCTTCACAACCTGGTGACCCTCTGCCTCCTGCAAGTCCTTTATCTCCTGCAAAAGGAATTAAATGGCAGTAGAGATGCTATGGTTATCACCCTATTTACAAATGGGTATTTGTATGGATGCAGTTATGAGCCTCTGACACTAAAGTAGCTTACATGAGCTGAAGACAGCATCCTGATTTCAGAGTTGATGTGACACGTTGCATGTTGTTCCTTACATATTCACTTAATGTTGACTGTAACACTGCTTGGTTATTTGCTTCAAATCAGTTATTTAACATGTCTTTTTAAATTTTTTTTTTTTTTAAAGTGAAGCTATTCTGATGTCAGTTCCCTACTGTTTTCTTTAACAAGCAGCCTGGTAGTAGTTCTAGTATCAGAGCTTTGCCCCCCTGCCCCCCCGTCCTGATGGGATTATGAGAATAGTTCTTAATATTTCTAGTGTCCAAAGAGGGGTGTGACTTTGCATGAGGAATGGCCAAATTCACAGTATTCAAAATGCCTTCTATTACCTGCACATTAGAGCAGGTATTGCATTGTACATAACCAAAATTGATTAAAAATAAAGTACTGACACTTATACAGCTCCGTCTCTATAACACATATCCAGGTAAAGAGAATCCATCTGAAGTAAGTGTGGCACTCAGATGAGCTGCACCGGTTTGGGCAGTATTCCAGGAAGCAATGTCTTTCAAAATATTTTCCTACTGCCACTTTGAGATACTCAAAGAAAGTTTCAAACTTGCAATTTGTAATTTACTGCCTTCAGGCTTATAAGAGTGCTAAAAACACTTGTCTGACTAACGTTCATTGATTTTTTTTTTTTAACTTGATTGTTTTTAATGTGGACTAAAAAAAAAGTGGGTTTGTTGTTGTTGTTGTTGTTTTTTTAAGATTAAAAAAAAAAGTATTTTACCTTTTGGACCTGGGTTTCCAGGAAATCCAAGCCCTGGAAAGCCTGTGTCACCTGTTGGCCCTGGATGTCCTGAATCACCTGGCTCACCTCTTGCTCCAACCCTACCTGTACAAAGAAAATAAGTAAACTGATGTATCTCACCACAGAACATCAACTTGTAAGATTAGGTGTTTTATAGTTTATCATTATTAATTAGGACACCACTGTAGATTGTATTAGAACTTAGACACTATTTCTCCTCCACAGTAGGTTTTCACAGTTAAAATGCTAACTGTGTTCACAGTATCAAAGCGGCATGAGCCTGTGACTTTTTATGCAATCTGCCCAAATTCCAGACTTTTAGGAACAGTTACATGCAGATACAAATCTTCCACTTGTTGAGAATATATAAACACACTTCATAGGGGTGAGCTTGGAACCGAAGCAACTGTAAGAACAGAAGCTATCATAAAGCTGCCAAGAGATTTTCCTATGGCTTTCAGGGCAGCTTTAAGGACTATCATTCTACAAAACCAAAGCAAAGATGCCTTATGGTTAGCCCGGATGTCACTTACTGTCCCTCAGTGCATTCAAAAATTCTGCAAATTTAAAACACCAGCAACCAAAAAAATCCTACCTAGAACCCAAGCCCAAAACCCACCCAGAAAAGGAAACTCAGGTTCTTAATATCTTAGAACAATGGTTAGTAACAGTCACGTCAAAAAGGAACTGGGAAACAGTAATACAGTTACTTTTTTGACTGTGCCCCTGCAAAGCATGAGAAGGGCCAAGGGCTTGAGGAAGATTAAGAATGCTTTAACCTGATTTTGTTCCTTCTGTTTTGAAGGTTGCAGCAGTCTCAGTATAATTTAGGACAGGCTTTTGTTGAAATTATGCCAGAGGCCCCTTTCTGGATATACGAGCTGTGGCATATGCACCAGATGTTTCCAGTTCCTGGAAGAACGAAGTCATAGCAGAGGACTGCTTGGAATCTGCCATACTGCACACCATGGACATGGCCCCGTGTGCCCTTCCTATTCACATCCACTTCCCCTGGTTTTCCTGAAGGGGAATGTTACAGCTAATTCCATAGTTTCTATACCACAGAAATCCTTTTTATAGTTATTTCAAAGTAACCCAAGAGTTTTATTTGGCCAGATCTGGGAGAGAAATCCCAATCAGATTATCTCTGATTTTTACTGTGTTTAGTGCAGATGTACTCACCAGGCACTCCTGGGGGTCCAGGTAAACCATCTGGTCCTTGAGGTCCGGGCAACGCAGGTAATGGAGTTATCCTACTGGTCTCTCCTTTCAGGCCTTCAGCAAATACATAATCAAAGAATACAAAGGCTTATAGTTTGGCAATATGTAATCTTAAGCATTTAAAAATATTAGTGATCAATCTACTCGGTTAAAAATGCAGTCTTCTACAATTCCCATATTTCTGAAACTCCAGCAGACTTTGAAAAGCCTTCAGATCCTGGCTTCATAAAGCAAAAGAATTTTATTGACACCAAGCCCACCTGCAGCCTTCCTCTCAGCCCTCCTGCAGTCTACTGGAGACCCAGAAAAGGAAGCACAAAGTCAGAAGGAAAATGATGCAACTGAGAAATGCTTAATCTGTAACTCCATTTCATAAAGATTTAATGGGTATTCTCTTCAAGAAACCTTGACTATATCTGCTGTCCAACTTTGAGTTCTTCCAGATTATGCTTGCCTATAAATACATACACTGGTATGTTTTCAGCACTCAAAAACGATGAAGTTCTTCATGTTTTCCCCTGATGACTTAGCTCACACTAATAATGATGACTAGATACATATTTAAAGACTTTTTTTTCCCCCATGATGAGGACAGTCAAGCACTGGAACAGGTTGCCCAGAGATGATGTGCTGCCTTGGTCCTTGGAGATTTTCAAGGCCCAGCTGGATAAAGCCTTGGGTAACTTGGTCTGATCTCATAGCTGACCCTGCTCTGAGCAGGAGTTTGGACTAAAGACCTCATAGGGTCCCTTCCAACCTCAATTATCTTATGACCCTAAGACTTTTGCCATTACCTCCAGTGGGACAAAAGTTGGAACAACACTGTGGAAATCTCATCCCAAGAAAAACTTCCTATGTTTCACAAATTAGGTCTTTGACTTCAACCTGTCTCTGCAATTTCAATCAAGTGCTCTTTAACATAGGTAAAACATGGTAAAACAGGAAGTTACAAACCAGCTTCTCCAGGTAATCCAGGTGGACCAGGTATTCCTTTAGAGCCTTTGAAACCTCTTATTCCTTGTGGTCCATATCCTGGCAGTCCAGGAAGCCCAATCTCTCCAGGAAGACCAAGACTGCCGGGCAATCCAGGTAGTCCTCTATCTCCTTTTGAACCAGCCAATCCCTATTAATGATTACACGTGTGGGTATACCAAACATCACTTGCTTTCCACACCAGCTTTCATAAGAAAATGCCCGATTCTCTGTTTGACTATAATCTTGCATTACTTTAGCAACAGAGTAGCTCTGCTAATTTAAGAGGAATTTTTCCTCTGATTTACTTGTGATTAAAGGAATATAAATTTTAATATCAATGGTTACAAATAGAGGGCTATTAGGAGTGAAATAGTACAAATAAATACAACAGCTTTATTTTTCAATCGCTGTGGCATTACACTGTACACTTTCTTCTTTAAAACAGGTTTGGTAAAAAAAAAAACACAACCAAAACCAAAAAACCAACAACCCTCAGCTCTGATTCTCCCTGAATACTGCCGAGTCAGGTTAGAGAGAGTTATACCTCAATCGCTTTTACAGTTTCTCAGACAACGCAACACAACAATAATTGTTACTTTTTGTTTCTGCTGAACAAAGAGCTCTGCCCTAATGATTCTAGATTTATGGTCCGTCCACCCAGCTTTTGTGGTTTGTCTCAGCCCTGACTGAAGATTAACTCCCAAAGACTGAACAGGAATTATTTGAATTATTATTTCCTCTTAAGCATTATAAGTACTTTGGAAAACCATCTTTTTTTTTTTAAATCTTATTCATCATAGGAATCCAAGATAATGCTCCAATACAAATATCCAAACGAACACCACAATAGACTGCCAAGGTTTTTCAGCAACGTGTATCTACACTAGCCTCATCTCTCCAGTATTACATATGAGTATTTACTCTCATTCTTTCATACATACTGGTTATGCATATTGGTTGCTATAGTTGAGCACAGTACCCTAAACCAGGCAGAGGATATTCAGTAAAAGTATCTGAATAGATAAAACAGGCTGTTGTGTAAGATATAAATACTGACTTAGGTTTTCATGAATTCTATATTAATTGCAAACAGTGCATACCCACCTCTTCACCTTTAGAACCCTTGGATCCTTTAGAACCAGGTCTTCCCAGAAATCCACTTGAACCTTTTCTTCCTTTGTCGCCCCTGGCCCCTGGATCTCCTCGCTCACCTTTTGGCCCTTCTGGATACACATATCCTGGCTCACCTTTTGATCCTTTATGTCCTTGATGTCCTCTAGAACCTGGAGGTCCCTGGAACAAAGCAATTAAAAGAATTTCAGTGCTAGACATATGTCAACTGTTTTCAAGCTTTCTTTTTTTTAAATTAAATACCCAAGAGTGGTTCTCTCTATCCTCATCTTTATTCACTGCAATGACACATTTCAATGAACAGGGTTTTTTGGGGTTGTTTTTTCTTTTTCTCCTGCCTTTACTCCTTTTGGCCCTGATTATCATTTCATTTATACTACTATAAGCAGGAATAATGCAGGATCATTTAATGGATTAGACTGTTAGCTACCAAGTTGTGCTTTGGTGGCACAAAAAGAAGGACCAGAAAGTACCTCAAAATTTAATTAGAGATTTCTCCTCCACATGGGACTCTCTCCCCAGGGACACTGTAACAGTCACAGTTGGCTCTGTTCGTAGTTAACTTCTCCTCTCCCTTCTTTCCCCCTCAGGGTACAAACTGGGTACTCTATCCCAGCCAAAACCAGTACAAGCTTAAAGTACGCTGGGCTCTAGTGATCTTGGGCCCATGAACTCTTGGGAACCTTCTGGAAAAACCTGTTAGAAGACTCTTTCATTCTGCATCTGTATGGCAACCACCACAATGAATACATGTGCGTGATGTTTTTTTAGTGGACAGCGCCGACTGTAATTTCTCATGAATAACTACTGCTACAGGCACAAGTTAGAACAACCAAGTGGATGTCTGTGGCAGCAGGTGTCAGCCTTCCCTCTTCATAATGTTTCCCAAGAGGGAATGTCCTTTGCACCCCTGAAGAGGGTATTATGAGAAGCAAGTTTCTCTGCACATCTGGGGCTTTATCAAGTCCTGAGTATGCTAGAAACAAGAGAAGTAAGAAGTTTGATGTTCATCACAGCACACAAAACTCTATATATGCTTTACAGCCACTGCCATGATTACAGAATTATGTAGATGAACAGAAGTTAACTGTAAACTACCTGTATCAGGCAGAAGCAGCAGTCTAGCCATCATGAAATACAGCACAGGTTAATCTCACAGTTATTTACCTGCCTCACTGCTTGGGCTGAACTTCTTGCTGCACTGAGCAAAACAGGCTCCTGTAAAGCTAGGTCAGCTATGTCCACATTACAGTCTCTACCTAGGCCTCCCATGCAGACACATTCATCACTACAGAAAGAAAACTGTTGAGATCACCTAGTGTGACACTGCATGTAACATCAGCCATGAGGTTTCTCTGAAATAATTCTTGTGGGATCTGAAAAATAATCTGAAAAACCCAAGTCTTACTTGAGCTCCTGGAAACCCCAGTGCTCCTGGAGAACCTGGAGAACCTTTTGGACCTGTTGTTCCTTCTCTACCTGCAAAAGAAACAGCATATTTTGTAAAGGAAAATGAAAACAAGGACATGGATTTTGACAAGTTCCGATAATCACACCCAGCATTGAACGTTTCTGCTTGTTACATTGACTGCATCATCACAGACTGACCTGGCTTCAGGCTGCACCTAAGTCTATTAGCGTTCTGACTTCACCTCTTTTAGGGCTTGTGCTCGTATCAGTGGATGGAGCTGCATCAGGCTCTCACACACATCACAGCCTCAGGGCTAGTTCAAGGACTGCGTGCTGCAGACATGCCCATACCTGATTCTCATGCTAAAAGCAAAATCATTGGCATTTCCTACTATCCTGTTACAAACAACAAGATAATTTACCAGGCATGCCATCTTGGCCACGTGGCCCAGGAGAACCAGGAAGACCAGGTATTCCCGGAATATAGCTGCAATCAGTACACACATAAGCTTCATCACCTAGAATGAAAATAATTCATTAGCTGTTCCACAGCAAGTCATTCCCAAGCTTAACTAATGTGTTACGTAGTTTGTTATAGAGGATGGCTGAGACTTTTTGGCCAGAGAGCGGTAGGAACACGGCCTTAATTTTGTTGGAAGATCACTTCCAACACAGTACAAAATTACCTGTGATCAGACAGTGAATCAGAACTGATTACATTTAATTGAAAATGCAGGAACATTCAGTTTAAATCTCTTGATTTTTTCAAGTCTAGTTTTAGTAAACCATTTGGATATAGTCACTCTACTGATAAGCCAGGTTCTCTCAAAAGAAGAAAGGGACATAGGCTTCAAATGAACGTGGCTCCATAACAGCCTAGGTGACTTTAATGACTGGCAAGTGGCAAAGAGATTCAGCAGCTCCTGTGGATATTTGCAGAAGGAACCTTCTCTCAGAGAACAACTATTGGTGTTTAACATAACAATGGGAGAATAAAAAAACCCTACCAACCTGTAATAATTGTTTGTCCCAGTGAAGATTGATACCCTGGCTGCAGTGCTGTACAACTGGTGTGCAGCACTGGCATGTGCACTGCTCTTTTAGCTGCTGTTTACTGTAAGGGGAGGAAGACATCTTGCTATCCCTAATGAATTTTCTCAAATCTCTGAACTCATCCAATGGCTTAAGAGGTAAATTAAATTCAAAATTTCATGAGGATCCATGAAGGTTACTGGATTGTACCATCTACTTCTGAGTGATACTTATCTGAAACTGACCTTTCATGCCAATATCTCCTGGAGATCCCGGAGGTCCTGTACACCCTGGCTCTCCAGGAACTCCTGGTAGGCCTGTTCTAAACGTTACTCTACCTGTTAATGAAATGAGCATGGCACCATTACATTAGCAGATTATTCAGACAATTCTCTATTTGGTAAGAGAGAAAAAAGTTGCAGGGATGAGCTGGAGACAGTATTCTGATCCTTATGGGTCAAGTTGGTCCCTTCCAACTTGAGATTGCTTCCAACTTCTATGATTCATTTAAAAGAGAGAACTACCCAGACAAATCCAAAACGCCTAACTGGAAGCACATGAGGATAAATATGGTAATGCCAAAGTAAATCTCAGCAGACGGTTGGATCCATCTGTCTAGCCTTTAAAAAGCATAGTCCCTTTTGGGGAAAGTATTTCCATTTTATTTGAATCAACAGAAACATAATTCTTTCTTCTACCAGGAATGGAAAGGAAACTTTTCTTTTAATCCTAAATTATTAATGCTGCTCATGTATCTTTGACAGAATTATTCTGGTGTATTTACTATTACTTTGGAAAAACAGAACATGCATTGAGCTCTTCCTAAGGTAATATATTTGGCAGATAGATATATTTTTCAAAGAGAGAGAAAAGAGAAGCACTACATTGGTACTGGTTCAGAAAAACTTGTTTTGGCCATACCACATATAAAAAAACCATGATGCTGTTGGTACTCCTAGTTAAAGAGGTATTCCCAGTTAATACTTTTTCTAGAAGTTTTATAAACTGCTACTGCTTTATTTTCATGCTGCCAGAAATTCAAACCTGCTCTAAGGACCACTAAGACCTCTGGAGGCAGGCAAGCGATTTCTCTAGCTTTCAGATTAGCCCCTTCTGAATTTGCTTTTACAGATTTACTACAACTTTTGGAAGACTTAATTTTAAGAACAGATTTTCTCTCATTAGTCTTTCCTAGTTTTATGTAGCAGATTTTTATAGTTACAGTTATACAAAAAGGTGAGAAATCTTTATACTGGGAAGTCATTATATCCTCTCCACAGAATCTCATTAGCAATGAAGCACAGACCTTCGCTTCATGAATATCCTAAAACAAAATGTCAAACAGAAATTCTATTCAACCATATTACTAAAAATATACTCTATAAGTAATGTATTTATATAATCTCATACATTAGATACTGAAATGACTCTGGATTTGTTCTTATTCATTATACATACAGCACTGAAACATCACCTGGTTCTCCTGGAGGACCTGGTAATCCAACAGAACCAGGGCTGCCAGTAATACCAGGTAGTCCTGGAGGGCCTACAATACACAAGCCAGTTTGTCCTTTCTCTCCTTTTGTTCCCTTTGGCCCAGGAAATCCTGGGGGACCTCTCAGACCAGGTCTTGACACACCTAACCGAAGAGGAAAAAATACAAAAATGAAGTTAAAGAAATGGAATTTTAAAGCAAAGTAAGTACTCAGTAGGATGAGTGAGAGACAAACATACTGAGTTCATCCCACAAATCTTTTTTATCTTGTAATATATTAAATAATCACAATGACAATGTAAAGACATTTAAAAATTATCTTTAACCTCCCTTTAAATACTTGGCCCATCAAAGGTTTTTGGGTGACAATTTTTTACCGTTAGAGATATGTTTGAAGTCATCTGAAGTTAAGATTCCACAAAGCTGATTCAGTACAATGGGCAGGAAGAACAATGTATGTTATTGTTGGTACTGGACCATTACACATACCTGGTCTACCAGCATCTCCGGGAGGACCCTGTGGCCCTGCAAAAGCAATGTATTTAGAACTCGAGTTAAACCACTGTATACTCTGCAAAGTCACTACTCGTTAATACCGACTGCAAACTCTAGGCTTCTGCATTTTAAGCTTATTTTAAGAATTTGGTTTTCCCTGAGTAGGCATCTACTACTTATGCAACTGTTGCATACTGACAATTCTCACTGAAATCTGGCAAGATATGGATGTTTACAACAGGTAGGAATAGGATCTACCACATTTATCTTAGGTGGGGATGCACTCAATTACTTCAGAACAACTTACAGGCCTGCAAACTTGCTTCTTTGTGCCACTATTATTTGCTCTAGTAAATATACCACCTCTTAACAATGCATTAATACCTTTGCAAGGCTCAACTTCCCTGTTGCTATCCCTTGCAAGTATGTAAGTAGACTTGTAACAACAAAGAGTATTCACTAAATGCAAAACAATCACTTGGATACATAAAAACTTCGTAAAACTAGATCATCAACACACAGAAAGCAAGGACTTGCTGGATGAGTATAAGATATAGCGTACAAGATACTGTCTCAGAGTTCAGCCCACAAGTCCTTCTCATATTGTGAGACAGCCCAAATAATAAATCAGTACATTTTAATTTTACAGCATGGCCAAAATAAACAAAATAAAAACTTGCAGATCTTTATTTTTTTTGAATGATAGGCAATAAAAATGGCATAAGACAAACTATGAAAGCTACCAAAAAAAGAGAAAACAGTGCATGACCTTTAATAGGAGACTTACAGCTCTGATGTAAGTCTATGGCATATACAAATAATGTGCTGATGCAGTAGCCCACTAAGGTCATGGGACAGGATGTCAGTGAGCTTAGGTGCTCAACTCAATGATCTGCACAGATAAGCGTGCCAGCTTCATTATTTTTAAGAGGAAATACGGCCATAAATCAAAGTTTCTGGATACATTTCAATTCTGCAATTTGATAGGAGTAATTTGAAAATACTCTTGTAAAGGCAGAAGCAGGTTGCTGGGTGCTCAAAAACCTAGCCTGCAAACAAGCCCTTTGAGTGGTCAGCTCTTGCTAAAAGATTCTAGTTTTGATGTCCTGCTCACCAGGCATGCCACGTTGACCTTTTGGTCCTGGAGGTCCGGGGGGTCCTTCATCTCCTTTTTCACCAACCACATTATCATAATACTCTGTCTTAAGAGAAAGATGGTAAGAAAAGAAAGAATAGTGAGAATGAAGAGAGAAGCACAGTGCCTCATATTGAACATCTGGTTTGAACAATGTTACGATCTCATTCATAATTTTGATGTTGTGACACCATGAGACCTTTCTAATCACATGGTACTTACAAGCAGCCAGAAATGAAATCATAATTGTTATGCACAGATAATGCCAAGAGACCTGTATGAATAGATGGGGCTGGGATTTCAGCCCAGTTCCTCAACTCCCAGAGAACTCCTCTGCCTGCAGATGCAGTTATACAGGCAAGGTATAAGTTGGAGACCCAATCATGAATATTACGGTAGCATGAAATAGAAAATATTCTTGAAAGAAACCTCTAGGAATCACTTAGTTTAGTCTGTTCTGCTCAAAGCAGCATCAGCTACATCTAGACTGCTCTTTTAAGTAATGGTAAATGAAAACAGAGAAAAATCAACTACTTAAATCACATGTGCATTAGAAAGTCATTCCTGTAAAAATACTTAATTTATTAAAGTTTAATATTATGATTAATATTAACTATTAATGATATATTATTATATTATATTACATATAATATATAATTATCTATTATAATTAGACATAATTATTATAATTAAATATATTAATTTAATATTAATTAATTAATAATTATGATGTTTCAAAGTTTCTACAAATGACAGGCAAAATAAAAATGCAATTAGCTGTAACTCTGGTGTTGGTTTTTTTTTTTAACACTACAAATTTTTGCTCTTTTCTGGATTATTTTGCTTGGGCACCATTACTAGCAAACCACTATTATAGTAAGTATTGTGCCTTGATATATAAACATCACACTGAAATTTAAACGGACTACTAATGCACCAATTTTAAAAGGAATAAAAAACTGCTTAAAATTAAAATTAAAAATTTTTATTTTCTCCTATTGATTTTTTTGAAAAGCAGTGTTTTTTTAGTACTCTGTTAGTATCACAAATGATTTAGCTTTTTACAAAGTTATTTCTTTCGAACAATTTGGGCAGAAGGTTTCCATTAGGTGCGCATGGGGCCTTTAAGAAAGCCACTAGCGAGACAGCATGACTAGACAGAGAAATTGTACTCATAGCATCTCTTGCTTTCTTTAAAAAGTCTTCTTAGGATTTTAAAATTGACAGCACCTGTTCTGGAACTGATTAGAGATTGGTTTAAAAATTAACTCCTGTGAATTTTTGTAACTGTTCTGTACAGTCCAATCTGCTGTCAAAATTGCTGGAACTGAGCGAGGTCTAACCAGGCCCTGATCGTGCATCCAGCTCTACATGAAGGAAGATGCCATCTCTGTGAGACTCTCAGCAACATCAGTACTTTGAGAAAGCCGTGCCTTGATTACAGCATCATGGGACATCCGTTATTGCCTCATACAGTCAGTTCGACTTATTCTAATGGTTTAGAAAAATGATATAATGAAGATAATTTACACGTACTTGACCACAAGCTCCAGGTGGACCAGTGCTTCCTTTCATCCCCTTCATCAGAGGAGAGAGATGGGTTAGTTTATTAAAAACAATATATGACATTACATTTGGTACCCACTGTTACTTCAGTACATTGCTCATAACATTAAAGAACTTCTGCTCCTGACCAGTCCTTCACCACCACTCTGTTCCTTGCACAACTATTCAGCCACATACATCAAAAACTACATGAACACATCAGCAGGCATAGATGGACACCAGTTCAAATACATGATCTATTTCAGCTGATCCATCCCCTATTCCATGATATCATTACTTGTCATCTTTTAGGTAAAGTAAAACACATTGTATACACAGTGGTAAATAAAATGATATAATAACCCCAAAACATACCTTATCCTCATCCTCAAAAGCAACAACAAAACCATTAGACAATACCTTAGCTCCTTGCCTGCCAGCCAGTCCTGGTTTGCCCTGTTCACCCTTCTGTCCCTGCAGGTGACAGTACACAATTTTATGAAGATTGATCTTTTAGCACTCTCATCAGTAAGATCTAAAATGGAAAGCTTTAATCTTTCATGGCAATGGCGAGGTGAATGTGACTTGCTCAGGGGAAGAAATCTCAGGGAAATACTCAGTTTGGGGTACAGTTCCATGTCTGTGGGAAACACCGCAGGTCTCTCATCCAAACCTGACTTTATAATGGCACACTCCATCAATGCCAAGGTGGAGCTGCTCTGGACAGCACAAGCGTAGGAGGCTCTGGTTTGTTCTCCCTCTGCAAAGTACTATTTCTGAAAGGGTAGAAACTGCACGCAATGCGAGACTCTCGCATTCAGCAACTCCCTCTCCCAGAACTTGGTCGGTCTGCAACATGGTGCTGATCTAAAGAAGTGTCAGCAAGACCAGGAAGGAAAATAGTGCAGACTGCTGTTAAGGCTTTCCGCAAGTGTATACATGCAAGGAAAAGGGACTTCTCAGAGGCTTATGCAGTTGAATGCACTGCTAGTTAGTAAAGTTGAAATGGGAACAGAGCAATGACATGTCTTTGTCACGACAGAAAGTTTTCTTTCTGTTAGCTGAGGCAGTAGAGCTTTGTGGTCTGTCATTCCACATCAGACTGGAATGTGTTTAGACTGTCTGCGAAGGTTGTTTTGGCATGAAGATGATGTTTTAGTAAGATACATATGAAATATGTATCTGACAAAATTCTGACAATAAGAATTTTGATAAGATATTTGTAAAGTCACTGTGACCCTAATGATATCAGTAGAAGTGGAAGTGAAGTAAATATAAAAGAATTGGTATTTAACCAATCGAATACAGTATTCCAAATACATTTGAACAACTTTAGCTTTTAATTTAGTACACAAATGAGATCATTTTCGTTATAAAATGGCATATTTTAAGAATTATATGATGACAAGATGACAGTTTTAATATCTATCAGTTATTTTATTTCAGGCCAAGGCAGCCGTGACCTTGACAATAACTTTTTCTTTGTAAAAGAAAGTCTTTGATTCTAGTGATTAAAAATTATTAATTTTGCTTCTTGATTTACGCTGAAGTGAAGGTATAACTCTTTTGCAAGATTTTCAATGTGACTAACCAGAATTAAACTCCGTAGAATTAATTTTACATAACTTGGGTGGTGTCTCAAACCTGTTAGACAGTCAGCAGCAAGCAACAGGTCTTTTTATTTTACACAGAAAAGACAACATCTATGAACTGAGCCTCTCTCTCCAGCATAACTCTATGAGGACATGGTATGTCCCAAGGCCAGCTGTGTGAAAGGAAATGTTTCATCGTGTATGCAAATCAACATTTTCATACCCATTCTGCAATGGGAAAACGCTGTGACAGGAAGATACGACCATGATAAACAGATGACTATTACTTAGAACGCATTTAGAGAGCTTCCTTCCTTCCTTACCGGTAAGCCAGGTGGACCTGGGACACCTTCTTTTCCGGGTGTACCCTACAAAGGAAAAACATAAAATAAAATAATTAAGAAGATCAAAAGAGGGGTCATTGCATTCAAAGAGCATAACAACTAAATGCTGTGAATATAACTGTAATTTAGGTCTTTATAAATTTTGAAAAGCCATTAAGGCTATTTTAAAAATGTTCATTATTTCTAATCATAACTAAACGTTCATAAAACTACAAAACAGGGAGTAAGACATTCCCTGGACATTCCTCCTCCTGTGGAGGATTAGCTGAGCCAGACACTTGACCAGCACAAAGCGCCAGGCAAGTGCAGAAAATTGGTGTAAAATCAGGTCCTTGCAGAAGCAAGACAATGATAAAACAATACAGCAGCTAGCAGCCCTTCTAATGGTGCGCATGGAAAGATACTGAAGGGAAATTTTCTCTTACAGGAAATGGGGTTAAGGGATGACGTGAAGAGAAATTATTTGATGAAAAAGAATAGGGAGTGCACTTCAAAGGTATTGGAAGTAGGGCAGTAGATGGAAAAGTGAAAACAGAAGGAGGCAGCATGCCAGAGGTATCTGCTGTTTTCTGTGGTGCACAGCACATTAGGCAGCTTTCTGCTGAGGTCCTGGCATCTAGTGTGGCAACAATACCTGTTAAGCAATTCATAACAATCACCAAAAAAGAAGACAAAGGGAAGGGAGAGAAGGGGGGGGGGGGGGAGGGGGGGGGGAAACAGAGGAAAACCCTAAAAAACAAAACTTTGAGAGACTGTTCACTCTTCAAAAAAAAAAAAAAAAAAAAAGAAGGGGGGGGGGGGGGGGGGGGGGGGGGGGGTATGGGGAGAGAAACAGAAGGAAATGAAACCATAATTCTGAATATGGATACCTTACTTGCCACCTTGAGGGCAGAAAACCTGGTTCATTAACATCCACAGCAGGAAGGTAGTGATAAGATAAAAGGGGGGTAGAAGATTATGAGCTCGGAATAACAGGGGAAAAAGTACATTTTAGAAATTTGTTTTGCACAGAATAAATCAATGAAACTTAAAATAATTTTGAAAAAGATGACCAGACCATGAATTACAATGCAAGCATCAGAAAAAACAGCAATACTCAAAAGATGGCAGAACTTAACCAGAGGTGATACTCTGGAAGACAAGAAGGAGAGCTGGAATGATGTCACCACAGGCTCAAAACTCGCTTGCACAAAATAATAATTTTTTCTAGAACGTAAAATCCAGAGCCATTTGATATTTTGTGCTCACTGATGCAATTTCAATAGCAAAAGGAAACATTTTGTTTTCACTTTAGAATAGCCAGTCAGTCAATGTCTTAACACTATTTGTATTTCCTTAGCATTCTTCAAGGTCAACAGGCAGAAAAGCAAGGGTGCTCTACTACTTCCTCCACAAAGAAGGGAGAGGTGAATTAAGAAGAGTTCTAAAAAACCACTGCATGACAGGAGAGAGCTTTTGCAAACAGAAGACATAATATTGAAGGAACACAGAGGATGGAGGAAGAATAACACACATTGGATAGCAAGAACTTTTAGTAATTTACACCAGTAACTTAAATAGAAATTAGAATTTTCATAATGCATAGGAATAATAAAAATAACAATCAACCTGCTCTACAGCATCATCATCATTATTGCACCATACAATTGAAGGAGGAGCAATCTACAGGTAGTACTGGTCTTGTCTTGCTACCTTTCCTTGTGGAAGGAAATTTATTGCAACCACAGAAAGTATGGGAAAAGTTTCAAAATATTATGTTTGGACTGATGAAATATTTCATTTGAAAATTATTTTTCTTAATATCGCTTCCAAAACGTATCTGGAATAAAAATTTTTTGCTCAGAAAATGTCACAAAACATTTTGATTTATTTGGATATTTTAGGGTTCTCCCCTAATTACATATTGGTAAACTGTTATGAATTCATACAGTTTTAGTTACTAAGAACCTGCATCTTTCATTGATTAGTTTTTATCTGAAAGTTTGAAAGCCATTTGAATGCAAGGTGGTACCTTTCTATTTAATTCTCTTCAAATTGTAGATATACTCAAGTAAATTATATTTTAATGTGTGTGCTTTTTAAAATAAACATATGATTTTTTTCTCATGCCGCCGTGAAATTATGTAACTTACTATCCTGTTAACAGAATAACTCTCGTGACAACTTTCTTCACGTTTCCACATACCTGCTGGTTGAGCATCCCAATTTAAGTCTGCTGCCTTAAGTAAACCCAATGTTTTTAATTCTCTTCTACATATACACTGGCACTATAAAGCTAGTATGTGTTCAGAAGAGCACTTTTTTTTTTTTTTTTTTTTTACTAAGTTCCAACAGTAGAACCTTTACAGCAAAACAAATAGAAGCGCATCCACCATCAACTGACCTTTACTTCATGTACTCGTTATCTGAGCCTACAAGAACAGTCATCTGACTTTCAGTTCTCTAGTCCGGTTTACTGGATGAAAGAGCTTTTGAATCTAAGAAAATTTGCTCTGAGTGGCATTGAAACAAAAACTGGAGAGCAACACTAGTGCAAAACTGCTTTTCAGGAAAGAATACATATGTGTATGCAATTGTTTGCACATACCTGTGCTCCGGGTTCTCCTCGGTCACCCTTTTCACTCTGAGAATCACCAACTGGCCCCTGTAACAAAACCACCCTCAAGATACGCATATTTTGAGACTCTAATTTTCTAAATTAAATATAACTTTTATAATTTTGTTATCTTTAAAAAAAAAGTATAAAAACAGAGTACAGTTAGAATGCTATTAATAGGTATTCTATTCATTAGTTCTATTCTATTCATTAAAGGTTGGAAAAAGTAGTGTAAATACTGGACTCTAAAGAGTAGCATTTACTAGGTGACGCTGCCCGAACATCTAGATTTAAGGGATTTACTTCTGGTCACTTACCGTAAACCCCATTGGCCCTGGAAGTCCTCTTGATCCTTTTTCTCCTTTCTCTCCTTTCAAGTCCTGTTACACAGGAAATAAAAAATTAATATGGTCTCTTGGATTTTTCTGTGCTTACCATAACACTCAAGTTTACAAACAAGAAATCCTTACATTACCAGCAAGCTTCTTCAAGCAGGGATGGTTCTACTTAAATGACTAAAAGAAACAGAAACTTCGTATCAGCGCTCCTGCCTAAGTCTATGATGTTTGAAAAGAAATGGGCTCAGCACGTATTTCTGAACATAGCGAGTTCAAAAGGACCTACCTGTGATTGCATGCAAGGGGACCGGAGTAAATACCCCCAGAAATGGCAACAAATTGCAAGTGAAAAAACAAATAAACCTTAGTTGCTTCACTGGAGCTACAGTTACCTCCAATATGTAAATGCAGTGGCTATCCACACGATCCTTGCCTCTGTGGGCTCAACATTAGACTACCTTACTCTGTAGTACTACTATGTACTGGGCCACATCCTAAGGTCATTGTAAAGCCAAAGTTTATGGACTGCCTAATTATTAGCTGGTTAGACTCATGCCCCAAACTATTTATGTAAGGAGTTTTGAGGCGGTTTTAAACCTTAATGCCCAAAGTCTCTGAAAAATTGCCATTCCCCTATGATAAACTGCCACAGCTGTGACTGGGAAGTGCTCCAGGTGGTCCATATTTGATTTAAACAGGGAAGAGCTGCTGTGCCTAAAAGTTGAACCTTGCTTCAGCAATCTTTCTCTTCCCTCCTCAGTACAGTCTTGATGCAAAATTCACTTTTTATTTTAGCACATAATGGAGAGGGAGTTTTGATAACTCCATGGATTAGATGCAAGTTAATTAAGGAAAACAGAGTCAAGAACAGGTTGAAGACTTGTTCTGTTAATATGTGAAGACTTAAAACTGTGTATCAACTACTGGTGTTTAAGTTCTATAGAAGGACAACATGCAAGAATTTTAATTCACAAAGCAATATTTAAAATGAAAGCTGAATCAGAGTATTTTCTTTCTCCAATACTCATTGTTTTCCCAATACTTTCCATGATTACTCATGTTCCAGTAGAAACAATGAGAAAATGAACTATGAAATGTACACGAATGTGTTGTAAGCTTTTGTGAAACTCCGGTAGCTCAGAGTCCTGATACTTTCAGTGACAAGGCCCAGAGGGCAACACAGCTGTGGCTTTGACAGCCATTCAGAAAATCCATGTTGATTCGGTGAAGCTAAAAGTGATTTACTTTTCAAGTACTGGGAGATCCACAGCAGGTGGGTTACTAATAAGCATTTAGCATTCCACTGGCATTGTGCAGATGTGCATGTGATTACACAGCTGAGCTGGCTGTACAGACACACTATCCAACTGTAATACTGTACAGACACAGTATCCAACTAAACAAGTCTGAAAAATGCTAGGATGGGTAAAAGGAAATGTTATCAGAACAACGAAGATGAAAATGTCCTCTCAAAGTAAAACCTAGCAAGATGGCTTATCTGAATGTGATGTTTAACAATTTTACTACCGTCATGTTGTCTGGTCCACTTAACGTCACAATAACGGTTCCTGGTGGTCCAGGGGGTCCAGTTAATCCAGTGTCACCCTTGAAAGAAAAAAGAAAAATAGAGTGATTACAAGCAGTGTGTTTTTATTGTTTCAAATTACCATCGCTATACTTTTGACATCGTGAAAATTTTCCTGTCATTACACTTAGCCGCTAATACAGTTAACACTTCTCTTTGCTTGCTATTTATCTTCCAATAAAAAAGGCATATGGAAGACTTAAGACTACCATGACAACCTTCTCCTAGCTGAGAAATATAAAAAGGCATATGCTGATTCCTGTTAAAGTATCTAGAATTAGCTTACAAATTTTACTACTATTTACTTAAAAGTTATACGACAATTTTAACTCTAAATCAAATAAAAATACCTCCTTGATTACTATTTTTCTCCCAATTTAAGTCAATCAATAAAATACATGAACTGTCTTTGGTGACACCCTCAAAACTGCAGTCTGTGTGTTACAGGGAGATGATTGTAATATAGTGCTGACAGATAAAATTAGCTTTCACATGTTCTTAACCAAAAACATAAATATCGCAGTACACTTTTTCATCAAGGCTCTTTTAGAACAGGGAAAGTCCTAAAAGTGATCTTTCCTGTGGAGCTCAACAAAACAACATCCATAATTTTCAGTGATTTTAAGCCAGTGGAATGCCTTTGCATGCACTTGCAGCATAACAGCAAAGAATGCATCACTCTCTCATCAGGAAGCAAGATGCTCCAAGGTCAACTGAGCTAATGCTAATGAATAATCAATTCTATTTACAGAAATTTTCCCAGGAAGCTTCTAGCACATTCCCGGTAGTAATTAGAAAGTTAAAACCAATCCCACTGTCAGATAGTGCTGTTTCGGTTGACAGCTGAATCAGTGCAGGTCAGTTAGCATAACCGTGAGATGCCCCAAGTTCTTAAAAGGGTCCTGTAAGGACATTCGGACTGACTACACTGGTCCTCCAACTGCAGGCTGAGGGTCCTGAGAGACAATATATGTATTCGGAGTCATTTCTAGCTTCATGTCAATTATATGGGATACAAAGTAAGAACATGCACAACAAATCATCCAATTTTTATTCAAAATCTGGGAGGTTTTCTAGCATCGTAAAGGCTGACACTGAAAAGACGTTGGCCATAAGAAGCTGTGAGTCTACAGATGCTATATATTTACCAATGTTTACATGCTTACATAAGCATTTAGGAACCCTGTGCAAATGATATATAAATGAATTTAATCCTATGTGTTAGTAAATATTAACTACTGGCTCCTCTTAGGTTTCTACCCTTCTTTCAGGAAGTTTATATCATTGGCTCTTGTGTGAAAACAGTTTGTCCTTAGATATTAATTGCCATGTTTCCATTTTCCAATAAAAGACTTCAACACATATACTGAAAATTTTTATTTCAGTGTACTTACTTCCCCAAACATTTCACCATAGTATAACAGAAAAAGCAGAAAACAGAAACAAAACTCAAAAAATGTTTTAAGCATTTCATACAACTACCTTTTTTCCTTTCGTTCCTATTACTTTCAGTCCCATAAGACCCTGTAAAAGAATCCCCAAATGTTATTTTTTTAATTTTAAGAACACCTACAAAACAAGTTAATTGATGTTATACATAATAGGAATTTTTCATTTTTATTACCAATCTGAGACTACCTTAGGTCCAGGAGGTCCTGCTTTCCCTGGCATGCCCTACAAAAAAGGAAAGAAAAGAATTCTTAATTAAAAAAATTACAATCTTCAGCACCAATATAGGTGTTTTGAAGTACCCAGTTTTCACGTGAGGTATATCACTATTTTTATTCTTTCTCCCACCTTTACAACCGCAATTTGTTGTGAGTGACAGAATGTCTATACAGTCTAGTTGCAAACATACACATCTTTCTTTCTTACAGTTATACAAATTAGTATTTAAAGTGAACTTATGGGTAATTACTTGAAAATCAAAATTTATGCCTATTTATGTCCAACCTACATGGACAAGGATGCTTCTGAAAACATGGAAATTATCATGCATAAAAATAATCAAAAGAAACTGAAAAAAAAAAAATCAGATGTGTGCAGAAGGGTATGTATTTCACATACATGTGTCTCTAGACCTTAAACAAGTCTGGGAGAGTCAGGTACTTGTATTTGTGTAATTCCATGGGTTTCTGGGAAAACCAAAGGTTAAAGTAACAAGTGAGACATAAGTTCATACTCACTGAAGCCCCTGGAGGGCCCTGTGGTCCAAGTTCCCCAGGATATCCTTGAGTACCCTGGGCACCCTGCATATTAAAAAAGAAACAGGAATAAATCTCCTGGCAAGATTATGAGCAAACCACAGCACTTAAGTTCGATGAACTGAATAACAAACAGAGGAGCAGAACTGTCTCTGGATTTCCTTTTCATGTCTCAGGATAACACAGGAGTGTAATTCCTCCCCACTGCTTCATTGGTTGAAATATGTTTTGAAACATAAGAAAACATATCTGTTCTAAAACTAAACTACTCAAGTGAGGATATATGTCCTATTTAACTGTGGACGTTCCCATAATCCTTATAGTCCTATTGCTACCCCTAATAAGTCTTTAATCTTTCGAATATTCTATGCAATAAATTCTATACTTCAAAGCTTCATTTTCAAAGAAATGGAAAATTAAAAATTCTGATTTTCCTTTTACTGTCCTCCATTTGTTCTAACAGTCAAGTGAAATGTCTGCTCTGCCTTCTCCTATTAATCTCCATCTTTTAAATATGGATCATACCGTCCTTTGTTAGTACCCCTCTAGAAGTTGAGCTGGTTCTATTGATCTGTTGAGCTGGTAAGATTGATCTGTTCAATCTTACTTCATGGGCAATTTTTGCAGTTGGACTAGATGGTCGTTGTAGGTCCCTTCCAACCAAACTATTCTACTCTACTCTACTCTACTCTATATGTAGAGGTAAACCCCTAAATCTATGACCAGTTTTTCTCCATTTCTAAAATATTGTTTGTCTGCAACATGACTTCCCTATCTCACTTTACTAACCCATAATGGACACTATTGGTTCTGATGGCAAAATTAATTACTATTGTCTTGGTGTACTCTGTTTTGTAAAGTCAGAAGAAAGACTTTGAATATATTGTATTAAGCAGATTACATAAAGTTAATGATTTTTTAAAGACAGAATTACTTTCTGGTTTTGAAATTAGTGAGATAATTGTAAAAAATACTGTGTCTAGAGAAAATAAACAATACATTAAAATTATATATATTACATAAAAGTCACTTTAATATACATACACACACCTATTTTATATATATATATATTTTAATATATATGTATGTATCTCTCTCTCTCTCAAAATCAAAA